GTTTTTCTTGCTTTGTACTATCCCTTTCCTCTTCCTCTATCTTCTCTTTTCAGCATTATCATTATCTTAAAGCAATTATTATAAAAATCCATGCAGGTACTCAACTATCTTCGTTCTCGTGGAGTGAAAGAAGCTGATCTAACAACATTAAGGAAAGGAAATGTAAGTAGACTAATGTAAGTGATTAGTATCTTATTTCTCGTTGCAATGTTACCCCTGAATCGAATGTCTAAGAACCAAGAATAAAGGAAGTGATCACCAACTTAAGAAGCTCTTGTTTGTTAAACAAAGTCTCCTTGTTAGGAATAAGCTTTAGAACCTTTTCAGTCAGATCCATATGACAAAACTTTGATCAAGATCTTACTCAACATTTGTTAATGTGGATATGAGACGTTGTACCCAAGATCTCATTTTTTTGATATTATTGTAGGATCTGTGAAAAAAATCTTTTCCAGGATAAAAGTAATTTATTTCTCATAATTACCACATGAGAGCAAGTGCATGAAGAGAGTGAGGGAAATGTTGTTGTAATTTTTTTTACAGGCCTTCCTCTCTCGTCTTCCTTCTTCGCCAACTGGTTTGGTTTCATGGGCAATGGATTTCTCTACCTCTGGTTTGGTGATCGACACTATCACCATAATAACTCATTGTGTGACCATGGAAAGTGGAAAGGTAGACTGGAAACTAGAGGGAGATGATGACGTCGTAGAGAATCTGAGCTTCAGCAGTCAGCGTGGTATGTGTTATTTACTGTCAAACTCAGAAAACCATGAACACCTGAGATACATGTATGGTTGGAATGTTTATTTTGTCTTGTATGTCACGGCTGTTTCTTAATATATTCTTGAGCTATGTCAAAGCAGAATTCTGTGAACTTACACCTTGTGGAAATGTTAATCATTAAGTTTGTTGAAATTAATAATTATTTATTGACTCACTGCTAAATTATTAATGCAAAATATTCAATTGGAGTTGTCTTTTGAGAACACCAAATGTTTCCATCATTTCCTTGGAAATGGTATCTAAAAGTATGCAATAATGATTCAACAGGTTGTGATCTTTTTTGACGTGGAAAGTTACCATGCCAATGAAATAGCTTCTTATGAACATCCATAATTTTAGCGTAAGGTGCCCATACCTCAAGAATGAGTTTAGTTTCCCCCTGTAAATTGCTATCAGCTCATCAAATTTTGCTGATCAGAAAGTCTAATAAACGATACCTTAGTTGCAGAGCTCTTGAAATTTTTTTATGTTCTTGAGCTAATTGAAAAATATTCAAATGCCTTTTTAGCGACTTAGTATGTTCCATTAAGTTTGCTTTTGTTTGTTTATTATGATTTCTAGATCACAAATCACACACGACTTCATCCCTCAGAGGCTGCAAGACTCTCAAACTGACAGCTGTCCTCAGCGGAGGAAGAGGCAAGTTGGCTTGGAAACATGCTCAGCTTTGCAGCCAGCCAATTGACAGCGAGGGAGACTCTTCCTTAGATATTGCTGTTACACTAAAGGAGTCAACAGCTTAGGATGTGTGTAACAAGTTTTAAAACGAGTAGTCTTAAGGCCACTGAACCTCTGTAATTTTTACCATAAATTATACAGTACCATCTAGTTGCGATTTTGAAGGTATGAAGCCATTTTACTACTTTCAGGGTCGGCCTTAGTAAGCTAGAGGAAGGAAATATTTATTGTGGTTTTCACATTTCAGCGGGGTAAATAAGTTAAATAGCTCTAATTTATATGTAATAGTATAGTTTGATCGTCCGGGTGAGTGTAGTCTTGAGAAGGACTGTTGTCGGTAATGGTGACTGACGTTTCGACAACCTGAGCGGAAGTCGTCGTCAGAGTCAGTGAGAGGTTGTTGTCGATCGAATGTACTTAGTCCGGTTTGTGTAAACTGATTGGTCAGTTTTGCCGTGATATTATTGGCTGTAAGACCCAAGTGGCGTAGGTCAGTCGTGATTGGTCGGTTTGGATCCGTTAGTGAAGTTAGGTCGTTCTGTTCGGTTCGTTTGTAATGTTAATTGCATTACAACGTTAATTACATTACGTTAATTACACCCGGACGATCAAACTACACTATTACATGTTACCACCGGATTCAAACCATTTACAGCTATAATTTAATAAGCTGATTTAAATAGAAAAATTGTTGATATTGACAAAATGATGTTGTGGATACATTTGGGATTGTTAGCAGGCTAACTTACAGAACGAACAAATTTTTATAAGCAGATTTATTTTTCGGGATTTTATCAATTATATAGGTATTGGCGGATATTCATTCAAATGTTTGTTGTGAATTTTTTTCTCGGTCTGAGAAAGCGGAATTGCTTTGTTTATTGTACAAAGCGGCATTTTTTAGATAAGGTAATAACTTATTTGTAAATGGAAAAGGACGCGGTATGTGAATTCAAAAGTGAACGAATTTTGAGGGAGTTAAAACGGATTTAGTTATCAACTGCAAATTGTAATGTTTTTTAAGGAGATCAATGATTGTAGAAATTTTCTATAAATATTCTCCCGAAATGTTTTAATTCTTATCAGCTTTGCATTGTAATAAGCAAGTACGAGGTATGAATAAAGGTATCAAACGTTGATTTTGTTCTGTGGTTTCATCTTGCAAGCATGTTCATGGTATTGATACGCATGTTCTTTATACAGCCAGCTGCTGCCTCCTGGACTCTTTCATCTTCTGAGCCCGTCAATGCCAGTAAAGTCTGATGGGATCAGATAAGGAGAAAGGATTATTTTAGAATTAAGCACGTGTACAATGATGTTCCACATAGAGTACTATGAAACACACAAGTCTGAAGAACGTTCCTGAGTTGGATACGAGGAATTGTTAATTAACCGTGAAAATTCCTGATCGGGCATTTACCAAAGAGACAAAGGGAGTACGTTTCTAAAGAAACTGCGGTGCTGCGTCGGTGGGAGAGTATAACAGGGTAATTTAGTGTTATCAACTGAGTTGAAAACGTAAACCTTTCGAGCGTTAGCCCTTCGTCAGAGCGATACATGACAAAGGACTAACTCTCGAAACGTCAGCCTCTAAACTCTTAACAGTGGCCAATATACGTTTTCAACTCAATTGATAACACTAAATTGAACAATGAGAGACTTGTATGCTGTAACGTGGTCTAAAGTGCTTTTTTTTACGTCGCATGAAATGCGAAATTAGACTGCAACGTTAATTAAGGTGTTAGAGACGTGCAAATGCCATACTATTGGTTGAAGTGACAAACCCTGTAAAATACAAAAATTTGCTTTACCTTCAGCGCGTCATGTTGATGAATAATAAAACAGTTATATGGGTCACGTGACAGTCTTTCCAGCGCGCAAGCGATCGCTCGCTTTACCGCTACGTCAGAGGATCGTTTGAGGCTGTCAGCCAGAGGAACGACCGCTGATGAGAAGGACTTGACATTCTTGTCCAATCCACTGCAACTGAAAGAGTGCCAAACAAGACTACTTATCAACTCTACTTTTACCAATGATGCCTTTCGGTAGGTGACTGTTTGAAAATGTCGCGGTCTCATCGCTTGTCACGTTTGTCACGCTTGTCACACTTTCCGTCTCGGTGTTGTGTGACCAAGGATGTCACTCTGTGCTTTGTTTGTTACTACTTACGTTGCTATCGCCTCTGCCACCCATCGCTTTAACTCTTCGTCTTTCTGAAAGGTAAGGATCCTAAAAATTATTCCAGCGATAATTTAGGGTCATGATCGATTGCTATACTGCAGTCTTCGTCAAATAATTCGGTCGAAGTATATGCGCCGCTATTTAAATGGCTAGTTTTCATTGACACCTTTCTCCTTAGTGCAGAGTAAGAAAACGGCTAAGGAGGGTAGACCCTCTCTTCCTAGACCAAACCCTCTTTGCTTTGTCAAAGGGGCAGCTCTCGTGCGATTTTTATGCAGAATTTATTGTCAAAGGAAGACACGAAAAAAAGCGGAATCCACGGTCAATTGGCGGCTAAACCTTTATATACTGACCGTGTACACCAGTGATACGAGAAGAGGTACCACTTCGTAATCTGTCAGGATGGACAAGTTCTCTCGATCTCTGCCAATGCTGATTATTGCTTTGTTTACACTTATCAGCACCTGAGGGAGGAAAAATATTTTTACTTTTCCAAAAAAGACTGATTAAAAATATCTTAGTTTAGGGTGAATTTTTAACAAGATTTATCCCGGGTTGGGACTATCTTAGTGAGTTCCTGGCAGAAAAATTAATCCTAGGATCCGAGTGTATTTTAAAATGAATACCGATCAATTACCTCCTCATCGTCGGATCTCAGTAGACTGGTAATGAGTTCTAGACCTCCGACGAATGAGCGCACCATTTCTGCTGACTCCTAAAGGACAGATAAGGACATGTTAACCATTGAGGAGACATATTGTTTCGTAATTCATGCGTTGGGCCATGAAAAAAATGCCACTGACTCCAAAAAACAATTTTCCTACAATTCTGTTTCCACCCTTTGAAACATGGGTTTTAGAGGTAGCTGCAGTGTTTGGGAGTGAAATTTCAGCAGTATTGAATTTTATCGAATTTCAATTCTCAATCGCGGCTGAAAAGTAAAGAACTTTGAGCCCATTGAATCGAGGGAAATTATTGAACAAGCTCTCGAGAGAAAAACCTGGTATGAACAATTCATATTGAATTCAAGTTGCATTTGATTGGTTGAGTATGGACAAAACAAACCAATTACAGAACGTGGAATATCAGAGAAAAATTCCTCATCACGATGGACTCTCAAGCTAACTATTAATAAACGACTCTGTCTGACCTCTTTTTTCACAACACACTCACTGATCGCCTCTGCCGCAGCTGCTACAACCTGGGAAAACAAATTCTCTTTGTCAGTATTATAGGAATGTCTAGTGAAGAGAACAAAGAATACGGATATTGATGTTGCATGCAAACATCGTATAGATACTGTTATTGTCGGTTACTGTGTGAAATTAAAAGAAGATACGTTGTGCGAGAAAGCTCTGGGAGTAAATCGATTGATTTGCAAAGATAAAAAAGATGGCAATCGGCAGATAGGTCCGTAGCTTATTAACGGTCTTTATTTTTAGATTCTAAACAGTAAAACTCAACCAATTACGTCTGAGTCGGGAAACTTCAATAAGGACCAGAGAAGCCCTAATCCGTCTGTTTGAAGAATTGTACTGCAACAAAGTTACAAAATATATTAGTCAAGAGAAACTAAAAATGACTACATGAAACTGGATTGAAAATTGTGGTAACACGGCTTTTAACAACAGCAACAATAACTTACAAACCTTCTACAGGATTCCTCTTTAGCACAAATCGCGAGGAGCCTGGTAGCGTTAATTTGTACGGCACGTTCCGTGATGCTCAGCGCTCGCACAACAACTGGGATGACTTTATCCTCTTTGAGTGTCAGAACTGTCCGTTTACTGTACGCAAACTCGTGCATAGCACCCATAGTATTAGCCAAGACCTGGTGAGTTAAAAAAAGGTGTCAGAGCGCTTTACAAGTGAACGAAAAAAGGAATCCTACAAAGCATTGGTGCACTGTTTATATGAGTTACTCCGCTCCATGATTGGTCACTAAAATTTCGCGTCATTCTCTCAGCCAATCAGTAGCTGTATGATATTTTCCTCTGTTGTGATTGGCTCTTGTGAAAATAAATACAACACAATTTTGATGCAGTGATATTCAATAATATGACTTTTCAACTATCACAATATTTTGTACCTCGTTAGTTTGCTCTGGAGTCTTCAACAATAGGATCAAAGCTTTGACTGCACCAAATTGCTCAAGCCTGAGATCGAAAAAATTAATAGTATCAAAAGAAAACACCTCTTACTGAGGGGAATTTGATGTCAGTTCTTTTAATAAAAGCGTAACGTGACCTTTGACTGTTTTTTATTTGGGAAATTGTTTTTCAGTTATTCTGGTTATGCGCTCCGAGTAAAATAAAAGCTTAAGAGGGCTCAATAATTGATACTTTGAAAATAAACTTGGAAATACACAGTAAAAAAATTTCCACATACACCAAATTGGAATGAACTGGAGTTCGATTCCTCACATGAGAGGACTGAGATTTTTTGTTTGCACTTCGGTTCGTTTCCTGTCCATTGCAAAAATGAATTCCTCTTTCTGTGTCTTCCTTTACCTTCTGACGTTGTTTTTGTCCAATGCGCACTTCCAAAGGGCGCCGACTGTGGCCGCAAGGAGTTGCGTGTTCTCAGAGGACCTGGATCCCATCGTTATTTGGACGAGCAGTTCCAGGCCACCAAAGCGGAAAATCAGTTCGCGAGTGGAATCATCTTCGGCGCACTATAAAATTGGGAAAGTTAAAGGAAAATCAGGTTTTGACATTAGACTGAGTCCAAAAGTTTCAGCAGCTTGTGTAGTATAATCGTCTTGCGTTAAGGTGTAGAGAAAAAACTATTGGTGACCCAAGTTTTGACAACCTAAGCAGAAGTCATTTGTCGGAGTCGGAAGGCAATGGTTGGTTAGTTCATGATGGTTTGACGAGGCTGATTGGTCATTAATTGGCTAATTTTCGTATCCTTATCCGTCTCTAGAACACTAGATTTATCAAAGAAAAATACTGATTTGACAAACCTTGAACAAAGCATTGGCACATAGAGTCTGCAAAGCTGTGTCGCCCTTTTTCAGGTGCTTAACAATCGCCTCCACCATCCCCTCCCTGCGGATATCATCACGAAAAGTGGGCTGAAGAAGATCAAAGAAAATCCTTAACGCTGCAGTAACTCTGTGATGATATCAAAAGGGTCATAAATAAGTCATTTATCAGCGGCAGGAAAGTCGTCATGCTTGCCACGTTTATTTCGACGCATAGTATGTCATTGCGGCCCCTTTAAACCGACGCTAAACTGTTTAAAAATCCTTTCAACGATATGCATAACTACAGATTAGTTGCTTGCACACATGCTGAATTGAACGCTTGTTCGTCGTATTTAACCCCCAGAATTTTCACTGGTAAAAATTTGTAGTTTTCACGAATACTCCCAAGAGAGTAAAGTGCTTCGTTAAAGAACGAAGTATAGCGACTCCAGTCGGTCTCGAACCCAGACCTCTACTCTGAAGGCCAAAACACTCACTGACAGGTCACCAGGTCTCCTGCAAATGTCCTTACTTGTCTCAATAGCTGGAAGCTCGAGATATTTTCCCCATGCCAAGTAACTGAACCAATTGCAACATTACATTGTTACCCTTCCTGCATTTCGTACCTCGCTAGCACATTCCATAAGAATTCCCATGGTGGGTAAAATGACATCATCCGTCCCGCTGACCAATAGGGAGGCGAGGATGGGCACGGCACCGGCCAAACGGATGGCTTGAATATTTTTAGGGCTTCTGCTGCAGCTCCACAAAGCCATGCATGCATTGTGGGTAAGCCCGAAGTTGCTGTCTACTTTCGATGGGAGCCTAGTGCGTTTCCTGTTTTCTGGTTGAATCATGTTCACCTGAAACAGGCATGACCACAGAAAAGCTTTTAAATAAACTTTTCATGACTATTTTTTTTATTAAATTTTCGTCAAATGAAAGACGTCGACAGAGATTTTAACAATCAGAACACTTAATAGCCGCG